GAGAATAGAGAAGGGGCCTGCAGCTGAGGAGCCTTCCAATGTGATGTGGAGCAGCATGACTACTTCACTACCGCATTACAGTTTGGTGAGGGCTTCTAAGGAATCTAGGATGCTCTGGGGTGAATACCTGGGACGTGGGGGTGAAAGGGGGAGGAGAGTTGCAAAAAAAAAAAAAAATGGAGAGGGTTCTGCATGACAGAGTAGTCAGAAGAGAAAGGGACTTGTGAGGAGTCGAGGCCAGAGGGGTAAACAAGGCCAGGCCAGCCAAGGACTGGTGGGAGTGTGGGCTTCACACACATGGGCACACACACATACACACACTTGTCAGCTTCCGACTCTCATCCTACGGTTCTCATTTGTGAAGTGCCTGCAGGGTGCAGACCTGGTCCTGCCCACTGCTAGCCAGAGACAGGGTAGGGCTGCTTGGAGCCTCTTGTGCCCCATCCTGTAAGCATCAGGGGTGCAGACCAGGCTGAGTCCTGGCAGGGGGAGGGACGAAATGACCCCCAGAGAGGCCCCAGGACCAGGGTAACGGGCGTGGCTGCGGTCGGTGTCTATTCCCAGTAGTCACACCGATACCCTTACCGTGTGGGCTGGGTGAGCGGGGTTGCCCCCAGCCGCAGGATGAGAGGCCCCCCCTTGGGGTTGCGGATCTTCTTGATGGCAGTGGTCTTCATGAGGCTGAGTCGGTGGATGAGGTTGAAGCCTTTGGGCAAAACAACAGATGAAAGGCTCAAGGGAGCAGGTGAAGAGGGGGTACGCGTCCTTCCAGGAAGAGGACAGAGGGGACAGGGGCGGGATGAGAGGGGCACTCACCAGTCACATTGGCTGATAGGTCACTACTGTGTTCCAGCTTGAGTCCTTCCTGCTGTGAAGGTGGGCACCGCTCACCTGCAAGAGAATTGGCTGGGGAGCATCGGGGACTCGGGCTGAGGCAGCTGCCCAGCTGGGCTCCTGGGAAGCAGCAAGTTCATCCTGTAGCCTTAGCCTGGCCCGGCCTTGACCCCGACTACCCTGGGAGCCAGGAGGAGTCCCTCCCCCACAGTCAGAAAGACTGAGGCCCAGACTGAGGCCTAGGCCAAGGTCACTGGGTGAGTCAACAGCACAGCGGAAGCAGAACTGGAAGCTGAATCTGCCAGTGCTCCCCGCCAGGGTCCAGGCCAGCAAGGGAGAGGATACGGGTAACTCTGGGCAGCACCAGAGCACAGTGGGGTGGTGAGCTGTGGCTGTGGCTGTGCGTGTGCTCCCACCATGACACGCACCGAGGTTGCGGGGGCTAGGAGCACTCCAGGGGTGAGGAAATGTCGGGCGCGTGCCTATTTTGTGTTCTGTGCAATTGCATGGCACGTCTGCACATGGGTGAGTCGTAGATGCCCACGCCGCCAGAGATGCCACATGCAGCTGGGACAGGTGTTCTCTGCAATGGGTGGGGTCCCACTTCCCACATCCAAAGCAGACAAGCAGACCAGACACAAGTCTGAGCCCACAGAATGACTTTTCACCTGGATAACCATCCCACGAAACAGTAAGAAAAGCCCGAGGGTCTGAGGAGACCTGAAGCTCAAAGATACCACCAGGGCTTAGATTCTAGGCAGGGCACATTAAGGGGAAAGGGCTCCTAGACAATGAGACATTTTAATGCAGATCTCCAAAGCCCTGAAGGGACCGGCTGGTAGCTGAAAGCCTTCTTCCCTCTGGGCTGACCGAGCAGAAGTATTGGAGGAGGTGCTATACTGGACAGATAGTGGATAGAATCAAAAAGTCCTTCCCAGCAAGCAGATGCGGAAGCTGGGACGGACTGTAAAGTAAGATCCTAGAGGCTGGCAAACTCCTTGCTAGCCTGACTGAAAGGAGGAATCCTGGGTCCCTGGTCATGGTCATCCCACTAGAGTCCCTCCCCCAGGTCTGGCCAGAAAGATCATCAGTGTCTTGAGCCTCAAAGCAGCAGTGGGTGACTCACCCCCTGGCAGTGGGCCCAGATTCCTTACAGATGTTGAAATTCTCTACCCCTGCACTGCCCCCCAGGGGACCTGGTGAGGGAGAGGAGAGCTAAGCTCCCCTATACACGTACAGAAACACATATGTATGAATGCATGCACATACACACATACACGGCACACACACAACTGGTAGCAACACCCATTCCTGGTATAGAACACCTTTTTTTTTCTTTTGAGACAAGATATCACTAAGTTGCTAAATTGCCCAGATTGGGTCCAACTTGGGAATCTCCTGCCTCAGCTTCCCAGAATGCTGGGATTACAATTATGTGCCACCATGCCTGGCTTACACAACCCCTCCTGTTGCGCTTCTTTGTTGGCTGCCCTTGACTGACTGGATCTGGGTTCTAGGAGTTATGCTCCTGCTTGGTTAGGTGGCAGAGCTACCAAGCCCAGATGGCACCCAGTGGGTCTGGGCAGGCTGCTCAGTACATTTCCCCTGGCCTTAGGCCCTGGAAAGCTGCAGCCTCTGCTCCATCCAGAGTCTGAGCCTCAGGGCAGGCCCTGCACAGGAGGGGCAGGCCCTGCACAGGAACATTCATCTGGGCTGGAGGATGGTGTCTGCACCATGAACAGGAGCAGGACTTGGGCCACTTGCAGGATGCAGCCACCTTCTGCAGGGAGAGCAAAGCGCCTATTCCTCACCCCACTGGCCTCACCAAGGCTAACACAGGACAGGTTTATGTACACAGGGGAAGGGACTGTCCTGTCCCACACAGAGCCCCAGGATGCACAGAGCTGCTCTGAGATGCAGACACAGAAGTGCTCAAAGACATAAATATATGCACAAATACACGCTCTCTCACAGGTTTGAGTGTGCAAACTCCTCAGGTTACCCTGAGCCCAGCCCCTAGACTCTTCATAAATGTTCACCTGGTTGGCACATACATAGCCCCACATGTGTGAAGACCCTGGCACCTCAGAGAGAGAGTTGCAGGTTTATGGCACCCTGAATATCCTGTGTCATCTCACCTGTATTTGCCCCATGGCTGAAGGTGAACCAGAGACTGAGCAGCCACAGGCCAGGTGTCCAGGACACCCACATCCTGGTCCAGAGGGATCAGCGGAAGCCACAGCACCTGAAAACCACAGAGATCCAGAAAGGCTGACTCCTGAGTCCCCTCAGCACAATTCCATACATGGGCAAGTGGTGACAGCCATGGGGCCCCCCTCCCACTAGGACTGGCATGGCAAGAGGTCTGGCCAGACACTAGTCCCTCTCAGGAGGGCCCAGCTACCAGCCGGGGGCTGAGATCTGGGCAGAGGTGATAATCAAAATATTTAACCACCGGTATGGCACAGACACCCACCAGCCAGAACAGGATGCTGGCCAGAGCACTGAAACGGCCTGGCAGCCTCTTGTTGTGCTAGTGGGCAGCTGCTGGACTGAAGAAAATTCTAGCGGGTCCTAGAAGACCATGGTAGCTGGGATAGTGAGGGAGCTTGAGGCACAGACTATTTATCAAAACACTTGGAAGCATTTCAGTATTTGTGCTCTGGGCTGGCACATACCAGCCCAGTACCTGGCTAGCAGCACCTGGCTGAGGCTTGACAAGCCTGCCCAGCACCTACAGGGACAGAAGCTCACGACTTTGTTGAGTCTCCTGGAAGGTCTCAGAGGGTTTTGTGTGGGCCAGTGAAGCTTCCCCCAAGAAAAGGTAGGTGGGAGAGCAGGTTGCCAGGGCTCAGGACCTTGTTGCCAACCTTCTCTGCTGGCGAATGTTCATCTTTTAGTTTTATTAAACCCTGATGGATGGGTCCAGATAAATCAATGCAGGCTCAGTAAGCAGCCAGCACAGCCATACATCATCCAGTCTCCCCCAGGACAGGCAGCTCATGCATACACACACGGAGCCATGTGTGTTTCAGCATACATATGCACGCGCACACACACACACATACACACACACGCAGAGATACATGGGCAATACACACACAGACACATGTGGTACCAGTGTATGCATTCAAAACTACCTGCACGCAGGCACGCTCAGACACATGTGCTAAACCCAGGCACATCAGTTTGCACATACACACATGCACACAGCCAGCCTGTGACCACCCCTCTAGTAAGCCTTCCTGCTGGGAAGTTCTTCTGCAAGTCTGACCTCATTCCTTCCAATGGAATCCTACTTTTCCTCTGTTGGTCCTGAACAGGGGATGAGAACGGAAAGGACCCCCTCCCCAGTGTATTTGGAGGTAGGATGCTAGCCTCCTTCTCCTGGGAGACAACTGTGCCTCCGCCTTACCATCCCACATCCCAAGGAGGTACACTTGCCACCCCTCAAGCCCTAGGCTGGCCTTCCTCTCCTGCCAGCCAATGGAAGGGCTGCCAAGGTGGGCAGCCTGTGGGTGCATGTGGAGGCGGGGACATAGATGAGTTCATCTCCACCTCCATCTCTGCTGTCTGGCCTGCACACCCAGGCCCCAGTCTGAGTGAGACAGGCTTCCGAGGAGATGTTCCACCCGCACACAGAGGCGCAGATTTGGGGGCGGAGAGAGTAGAACCAGGCTGGAGTTCAGAGCTCATCCCCCTACAGAGAAGAGGTCTGAGGCCCAGAGAGGGGGATGCTATTTGCCCCAGGGCAGACAGTCAGTCTGGGGTGAAAAGGGCCCGTCAGCCCATTGCCAGAAGGCAGTCCAGTCCATGCCCACTTACCGGTGGCTGGGTATCCTCTCGCCTCACTGAGCGATCCCGGCAGCCCCAGAGAAGCAGGGCCTGGGTTCCACGGGATCCCTGGGGGTCCCGTTCTTTCCTTGGGCCGGGCCGCGCGGGTCCCCAGCTTCCCAGCGGCCCGAGCTCTCCAGGCTGAGTGCTGTCCCGCGCACGCACGCACGCCTGCTTGCCGGCCACTCGGAGTGGGGGGAGAGGGGCGGTTCCAGGGGGCTGGGGGCCTGCCAGAAAGGCTAATGGAACCCAGCTGGGCCCGCCCGCCAGGCCAGAGGAGGAGGAACGCGGGAGGGGCTCCGGCCGCAGCGATGGTGGCGGCGTCAGGGGCTGAAGGCTGCAAGACCGACGGACTCACAACCCCGCTCCTGGCCTGGCTGTGCGCCGGGGCCGGCCCCGCCCACTTCCCTTGCCAGGTGAGCCAGCCAGCAAGCAGGCGGGATCCTGCCTGCCCTGAGCTGCCCAGGAGAGGGGCTGCTGCGGGCCGGGTAGGCGGCTTTTTAAGAGCCAGGACTGGAGTTGGAAGGGCCTCCTCGTTGCCCTCCTCCTCCTTCTTTGGCTGGTCCCCAGAAAGCTGGGGTGGGAGTGGAGACCCTCCTCCCAAGATCGTCGAACCCGTGACGTGGCCGCTGCCCAAGCCTCAGTGGTCAGCTTTTTCCAGTTCTTCGGCCTAACATTCCTAGTCTGTCCTTCTGTCTGTCTGCTATGCCCCCGCCCCCAAATTAACCCCTTCTGCTCTGGCCTCATTCCCAGAGAACTGGAACCAGACAGTTCCTTGTTCCTTCTTACTCCATGAGATCAGAACTCAGATCCACGCCCCCTGTTCAGGCTTTGTGACTCCGAAGGTACCACTTTACTAGAACTCCTCTTCCATATCTGTGAGATGGGCTAATGGTAGTGTCTGCCTCATACTGTTAAAGAAAATAAGCTAAATGTCTGTGAAAGTGCTTAGGCATAGCCTGGCACAAAGGAGAACTGTTTGCTGTTATTTTCATTATGGTTGTGATCCCTGGCAAGGGATGGGGTGGGGTGGGGGATGAGGCTGGGAGTCAACCGTGCCTTATATCCAAGGAAGCAAAAGGAACTGGGGCTGGATGAGAGGTTAGGCTTTGGAAGAGCCAGGAGAAGGTAATACTTCCAGTTCCGTTAGGGAGAGGGGAGGTTGGCCAAGGCCAGCCCCCTCAAGTGTCCTCCCCACCACCCTCCCTGGCAGCAAATTCCTTGGCCCCAAAGTAGAGAAACCACAGAGAAGTGGGCCATGAGTGGTGAGAAGGGATGGGGGGCAATTGAAGTCCCTTGATTTGGGTGTGGGGGGCATCCTATTAAACACAGTGTGGCTATAGCCTTGTGGCCCTTCTAACCCAGGCAGAGGGAAACCAGGCCTGGGATTTCCCGCCTGCAAACCTAGAGGCGCTGAGTCAGTGGAAACCCCAAGTAGCCGCAGAGGCGCCCCACTGTGGTCCCTTCGAGGAGCCAGCCCAGATGTGATGTGGCAGTGGCAGCGGTGGGGCCTGGGAAGCGCTGAGCTCAGCAGCAGGCAGGAAGTGCAGGGGGTGGGGCTTTCTGAGGCTCTGGAGTGAGGGGTGGGCAGGCACAGGCCCAGCCTGCCCATACAGTACCAGCCGGTGCTGAGCACTTGGGAAAACAGGGAACACCAAGCGTTAGGCTCCGCTCTAAGAATTCTACCTCTGCTCACTCCTTGCATCTTTACAGCAACCCGAAGAGGCAGAATTCTATGTTTATCCCTGCCTTGTGGATGGGAAATCCGGAGCATAGGTGCAGTATGGCCTCCCCAGCATCACACAGCTAGTCAGTGGTGGAACAGATCCATGTCTCACCCACAGTGCCATCCTGGCCCCTACTACCCTTCCCCCACACCTGCCCCATGAAGGAATGGCTGGGCCAGAATAGCCACAGCCAGGGACCCAGGAAGCTGGGAAGGGGGAGTCCAGGGTGCTTACAGCAGCATCAGCCAAGCCTAGGACATGCCCTCTGCCTGAATCTACCATCGTAGACAGAAGTGTGCCCGTGTCCTTTCCTCCCTCTGACACATATGTGCACACAGGCAGATACGTTCTCTCACAGCATTTGGCTGTGCATATACCACGTGCATCAGAGTATGACATTGCATTACTTAAATGTGCTCATACAGGCACTTGCATGTAGACATACATATGTGTGCACAAAAACAGACCTAGAGACACAGACATGTATACACCGGCATAATTAGTCAGAGATGCAGGCAGACCTCTGGCACACACATGCATGTACACAGACACAGGTGGCCACATGGACCCAGTCAGTAGCCACAGAAACACTCTCATGTGCACACACGGACTCACATACACATCAACATACATGCATCTATACCGACACATTTACATGCAGTCAGCTCCAGAAAGCCCTGCACGCCAGCAAGCAGGGTATCCCGTGGGGCTGGGCTCAGTGCCCTCACCCCAGATGGCATCACCACGAGGTAATCAACACTGCTAATCGCCACCAGCTGCCCTGGAGTCCTCCTGCCGCTGCTGGGTGGGGCCACCAATGCCTCCTGGGCCTGGGGTAATATGCCCAGATGTTGACAATGCTCGAGAGTCCTCCCATTACCCCAGCTTGCCACTGGGAATCCCCATATGGTAGGGGCAGCTTTTAGGGCATAAAGAGGATAAAAGGCCAGGATAGGGCTTGACGCCCTGCATCCAAGCAGAGGTTGTTTGCATGTTTAAGTTTGCACAGTGGTCCTGGACTGCTGCATGCACACATGCACACTTAGGCCCTGGCATAGGTGCACACGGGTGCGTGTGCACACACACAGACTCTTCATACATGGATCTGTGAATTACTCTTCACAGATCTGCTCCTCTCAGTCTTTCTTCCTTCTACCCACTGCCACCATAATCCACTCATGTAAGTCTGAAAACCTAAGCCTGGCTCCTTTGTTTTCTCCACCAGCCCCACCCAATCCTGTTACCTCTACCCCTAAAACACATGCCACGTCTTTCCACCTCTCCCAATCTCCTCTGCTACCACTCTTTTCCAAGCCACCAGCATCCTTTGCTGGGACCATTGCAAGAGCTCCTGACTGCTCTGCCCGCTGCTCAGAGCCCACTGCCCCTACTCCAGCCTAGCAGCCAGGGAGAACCTTCCTAACCTCTCTCAGTTGGCTTCCAGTTCTCATTCTGCATAGAATAAAACCCAGATCTTTCCCTCACATTATCAAGTCCTTCATGATCTGGCCTCTGCCTTCCTGTCTACCACCTCATTCCCCAAACTGTCCCCCCACCTCCTTTCTCAGCCCTGAATGCACTTCGCTGGCCTCCCCTAGGGTCTTTGTACCTCCATTTCCCTCAACCTGCAAATTTTCCTCTTGCCTTTCCCAGGCTGGCTCTTTGCTGTCTAGGGCTCCCCCTCCTATGCCAGATGCTCACGGTGGCCTACCCTGATCTCCAGATGCGGAGGAGCTTCAGTCGCTCCCTATCACATGGCTCCCTGGTGTGTGTTTATGCTTTGCCTTTCTGAGTGACCCTGTCCACCGTTACTACTGCCCTGCTGCTGACCTGGCACCCCCAGTTACCAATAGTGAATGGTGAATGAACACACATGAGCCCTGCCCAGGTTCCCAGACACAGTCTACAGCCGCAGGAAGCATGACCCAGGCATACACATGAAGGTGCGTGCGTGCAGACATGCCTACATAGACACGCAGACACAGCTTCTGCGTCCCGAAGGAGACTGAGACTGGAGGACCTGGGCCTCTCTCTGCCTCCTTCCATGTCTCTTTCCTGTCCCTTTAGAGTAGAGGAAAACTCTGATTCCCCAGCTCTCTTCCTACCTCCTCCTCCATGACTGTCCCACTACCTGGCTCCTTCTCACCTTTGTCTCTGTGGCTTACTCTCCCGTTTTCCTCTGTTTTGGGATCTCTGTCTCTAAATCTGTATCTCCATCTTTGTGGCTCTGGTCTTTATCTCGGTCTTTTCCTCATACTTCCTTCCAGGAAGGGTACTTTTTGTATCTTTATGTCCCTGCCTCCTATCCTGACCTCTGACTTCCATGCCACTGTCTCTGCTGCTGTATCCATCTCTCTTCACCCGGCCTCCTCTCTGTGCTATCTCTCTCTGGCCATGTCTCTGTTTCTAAGTCTGGGTCTCCATCTATCTGTCTCTATTTATCTCTCTCTCTCTCTCTGTTTTTTATCCCCCTTCCCACGCTAAATCAGCACTGCCACCACATCTCCATGGCTGTCCACGTTGTTGTATCGGAGAGACCCATCTTTCACCTCTAGCTGGCAGCTTTATGGTCCTAGCGGGAGGGCCAGCACTCCACTCTGCTAATCGCCACCCACCATGCAGGGCTGTGGCAGGCTCCTCACTTACACCCTGGACCCTGACATCACTCATCCCCACGCAGGCTCAGGAAAGGCATATTCAGGTCACTCCGGGCACATTCCTGGGCTTCACCAGCCTGGAGCTTCTGGAGCGGGGAGCCCAGGCCCTGATGGCCACAACTGTAGACATGAAAGTGGCCAGGACAGGTGGACATTTGGGGAGGGAGAGACCCCAGGTACCCTTTGCCCCAGCCAAGTTCCTCCTTGGCCTCTGCACACCTGTTCTAAAGGACCTATGGTGAGGTGACAGGAACAACAATCTTAACTTCTACTCTTTATGTGAACCCAGCCCTCAGTCCCCATTGTGCCATAAGGGAAACTCTGGAACCCCCAGCTTGATTCATTTTGTCTGGCATTAAAGTGCCTGAAAGCATATTGCCTGATGACTCCCCCACCATGGTTCTCAACCAGGGGACATTATTGATTGTCACAATAGGGGAGGAGAATGCCACTGGCATCTAGAGGGCAGAGGTCAGGGATGCTACTAAACTTCCTATAGTGGCAGGACAGTCCTCCCAGTAAAGAACTGTCTGGCTCCAAATGTCAGTAGTGTGGAAAAGAAGTCCCGCCGGGTGTCAGGGGAGCTTCTGCCCCACGGAATCACCACATTCCTTGACATCCTTTAAACTCTTAATCATACTCTGGCCAGGAGTGGGAGTCATTAGAAGACTCGGGACACCAGATTTTGACTCCGGCTCTATCTTTGGTAACAGCAGCAGCATTTTTAAAGTGCTGGCCAGTGCCATCCACAGAGAAGTTCAGTTTAGTCTCAGGACAACCACAGAGGCCCAGGCATTGTTACGATTCCTAGGCAAGGGGTGAGGAAACAGGATTGGACCCAGATGGAGCCCGGATTTGAACCGGTCCTCTGAGGACAGGCCCACAAGACACAGCATGGTCTGGGAGAGACCCCAGAAAGCAGGCTCCTGAGCAGCCTCTGGGCTTCCTTTTCTCATCTATCCAATGGGACCCACTGTCCCATTTAACCTGGCAACACTTCTAGCAGGCAAGGCACTGTTATTGCCCCCAGTT